TATATATATATTGCTTTAAATTGCCGCAATGCATTTTATTAAGACTTATTATTCCATTTTCTCAGTAAATTAAATGTGTGTGGGATACAGGAACTCTATTACTTCAGGTAGGTCTACATATAATCTGCGATTATGTGCATATAAAATACAGTATTTAAATGCATTCCTAGGGTCTTTTAATTAGAAATGAAATTTTAACATGTTTTTTGTCAAAATAATAGCTTAAAATGTGTAATTTAAATGCTTTTAAAGATTTATCTTTTAAATACAAATTAATTGAACTATTTTGTCCTGCATCATTTATATAAGTATGTCCTATTTAATGGGCTTAGAAAAAATAAAATTATTTTTAAATTTGGTAGCTGGAATGAGCAGTTCCTATACTGGCTTCTTGATGGTATGAGCCGGAACTGCCTGTCATGGCCTCGTCGCTGTCTATGAGGGAGAGGGACGAGTTTCTGTTTAAGTTTAATGCTGAATCAGTGGAGCAGCCCATTATTTATCTTGTACATCATGGAGAGCCTGGATAGTCGTCGTTCTTCCAATGGTGACCAGCCTAGTGTTTCCAGCATGCTGCCAACACTAGAGGTATTCCTATAGCGGTTCAGGACAAAGCGTGCTGCCCGTCGCAGGACCGCCTCCAACCTGTCGATGCTCTTCTGGGTAAATGGGTTCCAGACTGAAGATGCATAATGTAAAATCGGACGGACAAAGGCTTTATATGCTCTTTATTTCACACTGGAGTTGTCGATCTTTAGATTACGCTTTAAAAGAACCCCATGGTTTTGTTTGCCTGATTGCACACATTGTTAATATGCTCGTCCCAGTGGACCTCTCTTTGAATGGTAACACCCAGGTACCTTACGGAGGAAACTGGCTCAAGTATATGGTCATGCAATTCGTAAAGGGGGTGTAGAGAATGACAACTTCTAGAAGTTGTGGTTGTGGACATGTTACTGTCAGTTGTTCTGTTACTGTCAGTTGTGGACTAATTACTTTTAGTCGTGGACCTGTTACTGTCAATTGTGGACCAATTACTGTCAATTGTGGACCAATTACTGTCAGTTGTGGACCAATTACTGTCAGTTGTGGACCAACTGCTTTTTAGTCGTGGGCCAATTACTGTCAGCTTTGGACCAATTACTGTCAGTTGTGGATTAATTACTGTTGGTTGTGGACCAATTACTGTCAGGTGTGGATTAATTACTGTTGGTTGTGGACCAATTACTGTCAGGTGTGGATTAATTACTGTTGGTTGTGGACCAATTACTGTCAACTGTATACCAATTACTGTCAATTTTGGACTAATTACTGTCATCTGTGGACCAATTACTGTCATCTGTGGACCAATTACTGTCAGCTGTGTATCAATGTGATCATGTTGAACATTTCATGTATTTGTTACGCGAAGTTTTAAAATTTATGAGCCATTTCTGTTACAAATGGCTGTTTACCTTTTTATTCTAAATTTGTACATCCCCATAAATCATTTCTGTTACTATAGTGGCTGTTCATCTTTTTGTTCTATATGTTGTACATCTCCATAAATCATTTCTGTTACTAGTGGCTGTTCATCTTTTTGTTCTATATGTTGTACATCTCCAACCCTCCACTAAAAAAAATACAACAACAAAATAAACCGATGGCGGTACGATGGCAACCAGAGGCGTAGCGGGGTGGGGGCAGATGTCCCCGGGCGCCAGCTAGTTAGGGGCGCCAAAGTGTGCTTTGATATTATATTATTGGTAAAAATATGGGTTTGAGAGTTGAAAAAAAGAAAAGGGGGCGCTTTAAAATTGATCTTGTCCCCGGGCACGAATCTTGTCCCCGGGCGCCAAACACCCTCGCTACGCCTCTGATGGCAACAAGCATAAAATCCCTCCACCCCTTCTTTTTCTTCACAGAATGCATAGGCGCAAGTCCTTAATCCAACATTTAATTAACTTATCAATTCATCAAATTATGCTATGAATCGATGAATTAAGAAGACAATGGTGCAACTATAGCTATACTTCAAGAAAAGCGGAAGCGAAACTGTCGGATGTGGTAGTTACAGATGGTATTAGTCCAATAATAATTCAACGCTTGACTTAAAATAACACTAAATTTCATCCCAAGCGTATGTCGATAGATATCAAATGCTGCATAAAAACAGACGAGGGGCAATGCAGACATTGGAATGTCCTATACACACAGAGATAAGTGTAGGAAAAGGCATCCTACTAGGACATTGACAACATCATGAAGGGTCAATGGGCATGCATTGACAACTTAGGCTCACCTGAAGGAACTTAACATCATTGACGACATCATGAAGGGTCAATGGGCATGCATTGACAACTTAGGCTCACCTGAAGGAACTTAACATCATTGACGACATCATGAAGGGTCAATGGGCATGCATTGACAACTTAGGCTCACCTGAAGGAACTTAACATCATTGATGACATCATGAAGGGTCAATGGGCATGCATTGATAACTTAGGCTCACCTGAAGGAACTTAACATCATTGATGACATCATGAAGGGTCAATGGGCATGCATTGACAACTTAGGCTCACCTGAAGGAACTTAACATCATTGATGACATCATGAAGGGTCAATGGGCATGCATTGACAACTTAGGCTCACCTGAAGGAACTTAACATCATTGATGACATAATGAAGGGTCAATGGGCATGCATTGATAACTTAGGCTCACCTGAAGGAACTTAACATCATTGATGACATAATGAAGGGTCAATGGGCATGCATTGACAACTTAGGCTCACCTGAAGGAAATTAACATCATTGACGACATCATGAAGGGTCAATGGGCATGCATAGACAACTTAACTTCACCTGAAGGAACTTAACATCATTGACGACATCATGAAGGGTCAATGGGCATGCATTGACAACTTAGACTCACCTGAAGGAACTTAACATCATTGACGACATCATGAAGGGTCAATGGGCATGCATTGACAACTTAGGCTCACCTGAAGGAACTTAACATCATTGATGACATCGCAAGATTCTCAGATACAGCACAGTGACTGCAAAAAAAATAATTATAGTTTATTGGTTAGTCTGGAATAGGCGAACAAAATCTATTGAAACAAGATAGGTTGAAACCTGTTATGGTCTTGTTTTCTTATTCAAGCTTCAACCTATTTCGTGTGAATATATTATTTTCACGCACCTTGAACGCAGTCATTATTGGTCTATTATCCTAGAAAAGGCATTATGTAACTGGGCAAGGAACAAGGATAAGCTAAAAATATTAAAGCACGTTGTCTTGTATTCCACACCCAACAGAGTCAAAGTCATAAAAGGTGTCTTGTATTCCACACCCAACAGACTCAAAGTCATAAAAGGTGTCTTGCATTCCGCGCCCCCAAAAAAGTAAAAGTCATAAAAGGTGTCTTGCATTCCGCGCCCCCCAAAAAAGTAAAAGTCATAAAAGACGTCTTGCATTCCGCGCCCCCAAAAAAGAAAAAGTCATAAAAGTTGTCTTGCATTCCGCGCCCCAAAAAAGTCAAAGTAAAAGTCAAAGCCATACACATTGTCTATGGGTAGGCACTAAAATATGAAGGTATCGACTAAAACTTACAATAAGACTTTGCCACTGAACAATACAATTCTCAAGGCTTTTATTTTTATAGTTTTTTTTTTGTTTTTTTTTTTACCCGACTTGACACCAACATTTTGCAATCCGTACTTTATTAATTTATCTGTTTCCCCATCAAGATCATCTTTTCAAAATTTTCCGAAAGTTTCACACTTTTCATTGAGTTATATTTAATTATCGGCTTTGTGCATCAAAGTTCTTTGACTTTAACATTAAGAAGGAAACCAAAATTATCCCCCTTCTTTGGTCCCTCCCTCTGCTTTTATTAATTTATTTATCATAATTTTTGGCGTTAAAACCATGTGTGACGTCAAGGAAACATTATTTTGTCTCTAAAATCGGTCATGAAACCGACTCGACTCGAACGAGTTCTGTCAATTTTGTGTTCTACACTTTGGAATGTACCCCTCATTTTTTTGGGAAGGTTGTCACTCGCTGCGGCTTGCACCCACCCCAGTGAGGCTATTGATTATAAGTTCAGCTAATAAAATAATGCTAATTACTAACTAATGCTACTACTAAAATAAAATTAGAGAAAAAAGCAGAAAAAGCATTTCAATTTCTTCAGTCTTCAGTGAATCTGTGTACACTGAGTACACTGTAGTGTAGGCTATTGAAAGGTGTAATGTTAACATTCTATTATCAGGTAAAGTGAAAAAGTAAAGCCATCGTAACGGACATTTCAAATGTATACTTATTTATATGAATGCTAAGTAACTTAGTAAAGCGTGGTTTATGACTCTTCAAACACATCATTTTTATCCTCATATGGTTGCCTCGCAATGCGATGCTATTAATGAATGAAAAATAGCGAATTGTTAAGTCTATTTTCATTGGATAGAATGTCATACCTTGTAAGAGCTCTAGCCAATCATCGATTACTTTGTATCTCTCAGTGTTATTGTATTAAAAATAAAAATAATAGAAAGAAAATGGCGACCAACACCGATGAGGAGCAAAGCCTGAAGGAATGCGAAGCATATGTACAAAAACATAACATTCAGCAATTATTAAAAGATTGCATTGTGCAATTAGTGGTCAACAAGCCGGACAACCCATTGGCATTCCTAAGAGAACATTTCGACCGCATCGAGAAGGTAGGCGCATGAATGCTATTATTATATCACTACTATCACTGTACTACAGTAAGAGTAAGACTATTTAACCTTTTATTGTGTGTGGCTTATGCATGTGAAAAATGATACTAATAGTTTGCCTTTGCCGATAATTATTCTATTTTCGATATAATATCCCCTGTTTCGTTAAATTTACTGTAGGCATAACTCATTTATGTTGACTAACCATTATTGATGAAGAAACGGGTTGGGTTTAATTAAGTTTAATTAAGCCTAATTAGTTAATTTGGCCTAGCTGGAACCCACCTTTGGCTTTTGATTTGTTATATATATTATTATATTATATACAGTATAGTATATATATATATATATATATATATATATATATAATTATATATACTAATACTATGCTACTATAATCTAGGCCTATATAAGAGCATTACCATGCCATAGGCCATAGATATTTATTTTTAAAGGTATTTATTATTTAATAAATTATTTATTGGGCAAATATCTAGGTATACCAGAGCATGAATTAAGGATTAATGGTTAGTGTGAATGAAAAATAGTGAATAGTAAGTGTATTTTTATTAATAATAATATTAATATTTCAATAGGCATCCTATACTTATATTAAAACTATAACTTTAACTTATAGAATTTGAATAGACTAACATGAATAATTAGTACTACCAGTGCATTGATATTTTATTTTTAACAAATTTTCAACAAGTTTATATGCCAGGAATATGTTATCAGAAATCAATCATCCCCAATCATTGCATTGGTTAACATTGGTTTGGCAATTATTCAAATGGATATTTAGCCTTAGCTCTTGTTATGTCTTAGGTATGGTACACATTTTTTATTGTGGAGTGCAAATTTTGTCTTGATGTTGTTATTTGTAATATTATTCATTTCAAGGGCATTAAGTATTAAGTAATACACTACAGCCTATGAAGAACTCTTATCTGTAATGATGTCTTGTGATCATAACTGAAAATGTATCCATCCTCCCTCTTCCACCCTTTTAATAATAAAAAAAAAATATTCTAAAGAAAAAACTGCAACAACTTAAAGCCCCATAAATTAAAACTGTTGCATTACAGTCAAATAAAAACCTCAGAGATGACATCAGTGTGTCCCCCCCCCCCCCGCCAATTTTTACACTTATTAATTAAATGAACATGCCTGCCACAATTTCAATTTTAATCAACTTTCAAGGAAATAAGTTTTATACTTTATACTTAAGAAAAGCGTAATGAAAAATTGTAAATTTTACTGTGTTGTTTCTCAGCCATGTCATGTTCAAACATTGGAAGTGAATGTTGTCCATTCTTATTTATAAAATTATTTGATAAATTGTTTTTTCCCCTATCAATGGTAATAAGAAAATCTGTATTTGTCATAAGGAATCATGAGGAATCACATCATGACAAAAGATAAGCTGAAACTGAAACATATAGAAACAGATTCAACTGATTTTAAAAACCAAAAAAAAAACTTCTAACAAGGTTTTCTTATGTTTTCATTCTGTACTTATCTCTCTCTCTCTATATATATATATACACATACAATGGAAATACTGATGCTTCCTCGTTAAATCTCGGAGTTGTTTCAACTTTTCTGAACCTCAGTAATGTTTTATGGATGTTTTCTCCCACTGAATTATTGAAGCTTTTTATCTCCGCAATAAAGACATGCACTTCTCCATTCTTTTTTCTTTCACCTTCTAGATTTCTATGAAATAAAAAAATGAATATCTGTATTCAAAGGAGGAGCAGTTTCTATGTGGCAGAGGTCATAAAAATGTTCTAGTTGAAATAACAAATCTTTTTAGGGCTGTGCAATGGAATTAAGTGATTTCTCTTTTAGAATGCATTGGTATTTCATAAATGCTTATTCAATTCTTGACAATTGCATGCTAGTCTTGAATTGCTGAAATCTATATGTTATAAGAATTACTATTTTTGTTCACAAGATAATTATTAATACCCATAGTATCAGAACGAAATGTCCCATATTTTGTGTAAGATTAAAAACAACATGAAAGTGGCTTGCATGATTTGATAACTTACTGTGTAATTGAGCCTAACTTGGGCTCAGCCATCAGCTCAATGGTTTCTGGCAATAACTGTTGAGACTTATTTTTTCAGTTTTTCTCTTCTAGCTCTATTACAGGCAAGTAACTATCCATTGTGTTAAATTTTGTATTGGTAATCTCTCCAGTGAAAGACATTTTTCTGTTTGGTCAAGTACATTAATGTTAGGCGGTCCATTTGCAGCTTAGCAATCTATTTATTTATCTTATGTCTGAAATCTCAAGTCAATGAAATCTGCTTGGTATTCTATTTTATTACAATAGTTTTAAAATTTTTAAAGCTCTGAAATGTCTTAGAAATCTGTCAGCTTGATAGTAATGAGGAAGGTAAGAGGCTTCAATTTAATGAAGCTAATAGCAGTTTCAAAGATGACAAATTGGGTTGGCATCACGTCTGGGCCAACAATTAGAGAAGATTAGGTGTAGGATGTACCTTATACCAATCTCAACAAGGAATGTGTCCAGAAACAACATCTTTAGACCGCCTTTCACACTGGTTACATGGCGGGGCCCTCTGAGCAGGCTCTCTCCGCACACCTTAGGTTGTAATATAGAGCAATGGCCCACCAACATCCCTTCATAATGACAGTGTTGGGTCAATGGCTGGCATGCACACTGACCTGCTCAAGTAGTTTTGCGTAATGCCAGGAATTATTGGTTTGGGGGAAGGGGTCGCTGGGGTGGATGGACCGTCAAGCTAAGAAGTGATAGCTAACTGATGACGTCAGGAACATTCGTTTGTGTCTGGGAACGTGTGCACTTCTGAAAATGAGAGAACACACCTCTCTCTCTCTCTTTCTCTCTCTCTCTCTCTCTCTTTCACTGTATGAGAGTTGTGTGGTTTGTTTAATGTTAGAGGGTGAGTGTGAGAGGGAAACAAAGAAATAGATATAGAGTGTGAGCGGAAGAGGTGGATAGTGAGAAATAAATATATAAATGCAGTGTGAGAAAGAAAAAAATGATGCAGTGAAAGAGAAGAGAGAGAAAAATAGATGTAGTGAGGTAAAAGAGAGAGATTGCGTTCTCAACCTTGCCTTGCAGGCTATCATTCAATAGAGCCCTCATAGAAAGTTCAAATTTATCATGTTTCATTTAAACATTCCGATAATGATAAAATTGATAATTCTAGAGTTATACTTATTATGTCATGCTCCACTTGGTTCTTTATCCCCCAACACTTGGATTTCTTTTT